GCTGGATACACTGCGAAGGGGAGCACCGTGTGCCATCCAGATGAGCAGGCAGGGAGATCAGGAAAAAGACCTGGCAAGAGACTGGGAACTGCACTGTGTGGGGGTGGGATTGAACTGGCCGGGGCGCTATGCAGAGTGGAGCCCAAACAGAGCCACAGGGAAGAAAAGGAACATGGGATGAGTCTGACAAGGAGTGGAGGGGAACTGGCAAAATCAGAAACCAAGACTCGGTAAGAGTCTGCATGGTGGGAGTACAAGTGTTTGCCTGTGAATTCCTAGAGGTCACTTCTGCAGGACAGGGTCAAGGAGGGGTGGGAGAAAAGGCCAAGTGGAAGAGGTAGCAGATAGAAAAGGTGAGAAAAATCAAGAGGAAACAAATGCCGTTTAACATTTCAGCAATCTGGACTCATCTAAGGATATCAGTAAGTGAGGGGACCACAGAACCCAGGGGCAGTTGTATTCTTAAAAGTAGAAGAGACCTAAACATATCTGTAATCCAAAGGGGAAGAGGCAGAAGAGAAGAAACTTTTCAGGGTCACACCAGATGATTCGTGGAGGACGAGCTTTAGAAAAGCAACAATGGCAGGAGCCAGACCCAAGGAAAGTGAGACAAGGAGGAGGCAGACTATTCCAGTCCACAAGGGAAACAGGGAGGACTAGGGCATTGAGTGATGTGTGCAGGGTGAAACTCAAGTCTCACCATAGCCTCCAGGGAAGTCATGGCTTCCAGCAACAGGGAGAGAAGAGGTCTGAGGGTTTAGAGCTGCTGTCCTGGGGAACAAGAGCCCAGGCTAACAACACAGACAGGAGATGCCCATGCAGCTGAGGCAAGGTCTGGGGTCTCCTTAACCAGCAGTGCTCGACACCCAAAGCAAACCCAGATTCATCCAGAGCTGGGACTCTGCATGGCAAAGGGTAGCAGGGGCACAGGTTGCTGAAGATCCCAGCAAGACAATAACTGAACTGAAGAAACTAGGGAGCAGAGGCTGGCCAGGGGAAAAATGTGACTCAAAAAGGGAGAAAATGGGGGAAGCCTTAAGTCTTGGAAGGAAAATTGGTTCTGTGAGAATATGGTAGAGAAAGTCTGGAAAGGCAGTGGGCAGATCAGAAAGTGAGGTGCATCAGCAGGGAGCTGGATTTGGGGGTGGAGCAGCCAGAATTCGAACCAGCACTCTGATATGGTATGCCAGTATCACAAGGATTGGCTTAACCTGCTGCACCACTTCAGACCCCAGGCCCTGACCTCCTGCACAGTGGGGTAATGTGTTGTTTTAAGACACGAAGTTGGTGATAACTTGTGTCAGCAGCAATAAGAAACACATATGTACCCTAGCTATATGGAATTCAAATGAAAATTTTATTACTAATTTATAATGATATATAAAGAAGCTCAAGTAACTTAATTTTTCTCATGGTTACTTTTATTTTGTTCTGAAACAGAAAATTATTTCAAAAAATGTGAATATGCCCTTGCCTTCCAGGTACCTAACCCTATGTCCAGTCTATATTCCTGGCACTCTCACTCTGGCTAGGGAGGCGGGAACACCCTGCTTGGGCATAAAAGGCAGAGCTGGCCTTGTTGCCAGTGACTGAGGACAGGAAGATGTGTGGTGTAGTGGGACTGGCTGCAGAGAGGGCTGCACCCCCAGGTCATAGGTTGGCCAGTACAGGTGTGACTGGCCAGAGCAAAGTGGCTGCTGAGGATGGAGGTCCAGGTGCTCCTCAAGGCCAAACACATGGGAGCTGTCTCTGGCCTCTCTGTGACTATTGCACTGTTTCCAACCCTCACCACCACCAATGTGCACTGGACAGGTGGCGGCAGCCACCCAGTCAGTACCTGTTGACAGGCCACGGTGGACAGGCTGGGACAGTTGCATGGAAGAGGAGCACCTTGAGAAGAATAGCAAGAGCAAGAGAGAACCAAAGCCCTTCGAACCTGGATGAAGACTGCGTAGAAGGACCACATGAGGGCCAACCTGACAGGCAGGAAGCAGCTTTGTCCTGGAGAGACTGCAGCTGAGGCCCTGATGGAGGCTGAAATCCCCAGTATTCCAGGACTTGATGTGATGAGCAACAGGGTGAAAAGAACACACTGAGGACCTACATGTGAGGTTGGGAGGACTGGCAGTAAGGGAGGAGAGAGAAAAGCTCTTCATACCAACTTTGAATGACAGAAAAAGCCCAATATTTCATATTTAAATCAAATCAAGATAGGTACATTTCACAAGCCATGGATAGAAAGTGTTTTTAAATTTACTGTGTCGGGGCCAGGGCTGTGGCACAATAGGTTAATCCTCTGCCTGCCACTTCAGCATCCCATATGGGCCCCAGTTCTGGTCCCAGCTGCTCCTCTTCCAATCCAGCTTTTTGCTATGGCCTGGGGAAGCAGTAGAGGATGGCTCAAGTACTTGGGCCCCTGCACCACCAGCAAGGGAGACCCAGAAGAAGATTCCAGCTCCTGGCTTCGGATGGGCCCAGCTCCAGCTGTTGTGGTCGTTTGAGGAGTGAACCAGCGAAAGAATATCTTTCTCTCTGTCTCTCCCTCCCACTGTATGTAACTCTACCTCTCAAATAAATAAATAAAAATCTTTAAAAAATAAATTTACTATGTCAACAGAAGATGTTTATATCCTTGTGTACTCATTACTCAAGATGGTAAAACAAATTATAAGAGATAAAAAAACACCTTACTTTGCTTTGTGCAGAAATTTAAAACAGTCACACACTCTTCAGTGGTTCAGTCTGGTCTGCACACCACTAGACACACGCACAGAATTAAACAACATGAGTCGCCTGACTCTGATTATGAGGAAGGGGAAAGGCAGGCTAAGATGTCACACTCTAGTTTTCTAACAGTCCCAGACTCCCCCCACCCTGCACAGGGAGCCTTCCAGTCCACAGCCCTGAGACTGCTCTTCTCCTGCTGGGTGCTTTCCTCCCTATGAAGTCAAGGGGGAAGCTCTGTGACGTACGACTGTAACCCAGCCTTCCCACGATGATTCACTTCAAGAGCACAAATCCCATACCTGCCCTATGGTGGTTTTTAGTCAACACCAAGTAATGAAGGATATTCAGAATGTGGGGGAGAAAATCTCTCTTTTATAAGTGTTCTTGCTGTGGCTGATTAACCTTCAAGTATCTTAAAGGGGAAACTCTGAGAATGAAGTAAACACACCTGCTGGCTGAGATGAGGGTCAAGACAGCCCCTAACAGGAAATCTAATACATTGCTGCCTGCAGCCAAAACTATGTCTTACTTGGAGAAATCGTCCACTTCGCCTCACACCTCAGTATTTGATGTAGCCCTGTGTGGACATCACAGAGGACATGTGCCCTGGGAGCCTGGTCACAGAAAGTAGCACAAATATGACTCCTAGGACACAGCGTCATTCAAGCTAGTTTTGTGACAAACAAGGTCCAATTGCAATCACTGACTGTCTCTTCCTCATTACGACTCCTGGCCATCCTCAGAACCTGGACAGTGATGCTATCAAGGCCTCAGCAGCCTATGTATCCTCTGGGTGAATGTCACACCCTGGACCTGTCCTCAGGCGTCATGGTATCTGCCAGGCCATAGGCACCTCCTGTTCTGACCTACTCTACATCCTGACCTGAGTGATTCTGCATGCAGGGCACAGGATGCATTCAGGTGAAAGGGCCACCGAGTTACCCCAGGTTGCGCTGGTCCAAGTCAAGCCCCTTTAAGTCCTTCTCAGAGAACTAAGAAGCAGTTTCCCAGAAAATATTCAACATCACTGGTCACATGAGCCTGCTCAGTATGGTGGGAACTGTGAGCAGACATGGGAAAAAAAAGGTGGAAGAAATCCCCGAGCTTAATGGACTTACATGCTTCCAGTGGACACACAGCCTGAGTTACCTCAGGTGACTGCAACACTGGAGTAGTAGGGATGTGATGGCTGAGCAACAATCACTTGGTATTTAGTCTTTCCACGGTAAAGGGCCTCGAGCCTGCACACAGAATGCCCCAAGGAGGTTCTCACACTACCCATTTCCAGGCCCAGTTCCCAAGGTTCTGACCTAGTAGGTCTCCAGAAAATCCATGCTTATGCCTTCCAAAGCCCAACAGAAGAGTCTGCTGTGAAGCAGGGGGTTAACAACCGATGCTCCAAAACAACCTTTCACACTGCTTGGTCAGTGAAGAACTGCCCAGACAACAAAGGGCATTAACTATTTTTTTTAATTGAAGTGTCAGTCCTTGGTTCCCCTTTTCTTCTTTACCCATACATTTACATATGATAATAAATACTAAAGGCAACACAAGAGAGGTCATGAAAAGTAAAGTTTTAGCTTATTGCTATAGGTTAAAATGCAATATAAAGACACTGGAAACTCAGATCAAGAAGAAGAGAAAGGGCAGCATGAGCTTTGGCCTTGGGCAAAGATTAGCCCCTGTGTCAGCAGGCCCTTGTGGCTGGCCAACCAAGTGCCTGCACTGTGATTCATGCTCTGTGCATCCAGGTAGCCAGGCAGAACGTGATCCAAGGTGGGTCACTGTCTCCTCCAACATCTTGCTTGACCTACAACTCCCATGCAACAGAGCAAAATGGATCCCTCCAACCTGAGCCCTCAGTGGACATATGCAAGTACTACCAGCTATAAAAATAAAGACTGACATTAGCTGTGTATTAAGTGCCCATTGCATCTTATATCCTTCACATAACAACTGAGTTAGCCCTCTGACATCCTGAAGAGGCAGGTAGAATACTTTCCCTACTTTGCAAATGAGGAAACTGAGGCACGGACAGGTTGAATGAACTTCCCAAGATCACAGAATTGGCAGGTGTTGGTGATGTGCTTCAAGCACAGGCAGTCCCAACTGCAGCACATGCAGAAACATCCAGGCTTTCATGAGGTCACTTCCTAGTACAGCCTTTAAATTCAGGTAGGTCAGTGGGCTATCTAGGTAGATGGGTTTATTTGAACTAACTTTCCTAAGTGTTGATTCCTTGCAAAAAAAATATAAGCCCTTCAGTGACTAACCTTGGAAAACAGTTCAACAGGTGCTGCTATTGCTTTCTGTTCTTGCAGGTACTGCTCCCAAGACCACGCTTCATGGTCAACCATGGAAAGGTCTGGAAGAGAAAACACAGTAACTTTTCTTGAAATAGTTAGTGACAGAAAAATAACATTTAACTGAAGACAAATGCAAGAAACAGGCTGATGAAGCTGGTAGTCAGAAAACCCAGAAACTAGTAAGAACCTGCTCTTTCGCTCTCTGTGAACATTCAGTAAAAAAAAAATAAATAAAAATAAAAATAAAAAAAAAATCACCAATCCACTTGGTACACAACTCTTCCTGCTTTGGGACAGGCTAAAAATACTTCCCACACTCAAGACAGTGCCTGATCAACTCTCTGATGGGTGCCATCAGAGAGGGTGAGCAGGGACAGGTTTTCTGGAAAGGGATCTGGTGCATTTTAAGTGCTTCACCTGAAGATATTTTAGAACTCCTTTCACTTTCATACCCTTTTTGGGTGTGGATGTCAATTGGTACAACCTGTCAAAACCCACTGTGGCAATATTTGTATGAAGCCTTCAAAACTATTCCTACAGTTTATACCAGCAAGTCTCCTTCTCAGAATTTGTCTTAATGAAACAACAGTAGATGTGCACAAGGGAAAAAAACGCAGTGTTTTTGCATTAGAACTCTGCATAATAATGAAATACTGGGAAGAATCTAAAGGTCCACCAAGGGGGGATTAATTAAATGCATTGCACAGATATGTCATTTTAATAACAGGCAGTAAAATTACATTGTGGAAGGCTAATGACAGAGAAAGGGGATGTTAATGGCATACTACTAAGTGAGGAGAAAAAGCAGTTTAGGAAACAAAATGATGCTTTTTAGTAAACAGTAGCAGATTTGAAAAGATTAACATTATGTAAATCAAAATCTTGATGCCAGAATTATAAACCATTTCTTCCCAGTTTTTTTTTCTTCTTCGTTGTCCTGCTTTTCCAATTTTTTAGATGAACGGCTAATTCTTACAATTCAATAAGTGTCATTTTTAAATAATAAAAAATGGCAAAATAATTAATAATTGTTTTAATTCTATGTCCTAATAATTAGAACTCCATACAAATGAATTAGTCAAACTCTAAGAAAAGTTGATGGAAAAACATCACTACATAACTATAAAAGTAAATAGCAGAAAGATGATTACCAGAGGTCCAGGGAATAAGGTATGGAAAAGGTAAAAATGCTGATTAATGGGTATAAAGTTTCAGTTGGAGAGTAAGCTTTAGAGCTGTATTGCATAACATGGTGACTAGAGTTAAAGATTGTGTATTTTAAACTTCAAAATTGCTAAGGGGCAGAGGCAGGGATTAAGATGCTGCTTGGGACACCTGTACCCACACAGGAATTGCTATTTCCAATTCCAGCTTTCTGCTAATGTGGACTCTGGGAGGCAGAAGGTGATGCCTCATTTACTTGGGTACTTGCCACCCATGTGGAGGACACAGACTGAGTTCCAGGCTCCTGGCTCAGCCTGGGCTATGCAGGCATTTGGGGGAGTGAACCAGTGGATGGAAGATCTGTCTCTCTGACTCTTTGTCTTTCAAATTAACAAATAAATAAATTTTTACAAATGTTTAAAGAATAGATTGTAACTATTCTTGCTGAAAAAAAAAAAGGTGAGGTGCTAAATTCGTTAATTTCCTTGATACAATCTTTATAGAATATAAACATGTATAAAAACATCACATGGTGGGCTGGCACTGTGGCACAACAGCTTAAGCCTCCAACTGCAGTGCCAGCATCCCATATGAGCAATTGGTTCATGCCCCAGCTGCTCCTCTTCCAATCTACCTCTCTGCTAATAGCCTGGGAAAGCAGTGGAAGATGGCCCAAGTGCTTGGGCCGCTGCACCCACGTGAGAGACCTAGAAGAAGCTCCTGGCTCATGGTTTCAGATTGGCTTAGCTCCGCCTTTGTGGCCATTTGGGAAGTGAAACAACAGTCGAAAGACCTTTCTGTCTCTCCCTCTCTCTGTAACTCTGCCTCTCAAATAAATAAAATAAATTTTTAAAAGAAAAACAAATCACATTGTCCTAAATCTGTATATATGAAATACATGAAATGTGTACCTTAAATAAATTTTTTTAAATTTAAAATTTTTATGGCCGGCGCCGCGGCTCAATAGGCTAATCCTCCACATAGCGGTGCCAGCACTCCGGGTTCTAGTCCCGGTCAGGGCGCCGGATTCTGTCCCGGTTGCCCCCTTCCAGGCCAGCTCTCTGCTGTGGCCAGGGAGTGCAGTGGAGGATGGCCCAGGTCCTTGGGCCCTGCACCCCATGGGAGACCAGGAGAAGCACCTGGCTCCTGCCTTCGGATCAGTGCGGTGCGCCGGCCGCAGTGCACTGGCCGCAGCGGCCACTGGAGGGTGAACCAACGGCAAAGGAAGACCTTTCTCTCTGTCTCTCTCTCACTGTCCTCTCTGCCTGTCAAAAAAAATTTTTATGAATAAAAAAGATTTTTAAATAAAAAGCATCACATTGTATCACATAAATATATATAATAATTTTTCAATTACAAATTAAAACAAAAATATATACATATTCATTATTAAAATATTCATTCATGTACACATTGGGCAATAGGCACATATTCGTTCATATCTGCAAACATGCTCCCATAGAAGAGGAACTGGAAAGAAATAGCGCAATATTAACACTGGCTATACATAGATGGTAAGATTAATCTAAATTTTCTTTCTTGTTACATTTTTTAAAATTCTCTACAAATATTGCTACTTAACCATACACACACACACACACACACACACATTTCCTTTGAAGAATACTGGTCAAAAAATGCTTTCTGAATTTTAAATATTCATCATGCTGCAGAACATTCCAGAAGTCATGGATGGTACAAGATCAGCATTGCATTAGCAGTAGCGATGACAGGTGGTAAGAAACACTTCTAACTCAACATTGAATCCTCTAAAGCCAACAAAGCAACTGGATAGAATTACAAACACAAAACCCATTCAGCTGTGCAGGAATTCATGTATACTTTAACCATTTAGAAGATTTCTGAGCTCCTGTGAATGTGCCCAAACCTGCGCTGTTTGTCCACTGGGATGAATAGATAATTCTGTTCCTGAGGCAGGAAATGAAAACTAAACAATAGACATTACTTTTCCTTTGATACCCAAATATATAATTGACAATGAAAGGAGTAATTTAAACTCTGGAGATAAAGAGAAACATGCTATCAATTTATAGGTTAAAAAAAATCTGCAAACACATTGACATCAACCTTCACCAACAGTCACAGCACTAACTTGCCATTGCTAAGAAATACATTTGTTAAAGTATGAGATTTGTAAAAAGCATTCTACTCATCAAATAAGACTAAGAATTCTCATCAGTGGATTTTCTTATTTTGTTTGACAACAAGAAAAATAAAAAAGAACCACAGTATGATTTCCATCAAGAAGCTTGCAGTCTGTTGGTCCATTACTGCAATAAAAGGTTTGCTGCCATCTCTACCACAACGTGAGATGTTTTATTTTGCTGAACAGAGAAAGCAATTTGACAAACCCTGAAGATGCTTGGGTAAGATCATTCAAGGTCCTTATCTTCACACAAGCATTTTACTGCCTTACAATTATGTACTTTACAAAAATATTACAGCAGGGGTAGCTCCAAAGCAAATACAGATACTTTGTTTTCTAAAACAGCTGTGTTCTTAGAAAGCCTCTGTAATTTCTCAATTTAATCATATTTCCAATTGTCACATGTTACCATTTCAACAAATGCAAATTGTATCTAAGAGACTTTCTTTTATGATTACCTCAGTGGGCAAAGACACTTTTAAGATTTACAAGAACAAAAATACATAATATCAAACAATAAAAACTCCTGAATGAGGTAAGTATCTTTGGGAAAGCAAGGAAACTACTCAACAACATGGAGCCACAATTGTCCACAAGAGCCTGTAAACTGACCCTTCCTCTTCCCTGACTCTGTAAAGATTGCCTCGCCTTTGCTGTCTCCAAACGTTATTGCATTATTTTGCACAGGGATTACATTAGCTGAAATTAACCAGTTTGCTTAATTTTAAGTAGAGCATAAGCTTATAAAAGGGAGGGATCTTATTACTATTGTTTATCACTAAATTTTTGGAGCTATAATCATAGCTGGCCATAATATTTGTTTAATGAATTAAAGGGCAGGCAGGCAAGCAGAGCAGTACTTTCACCTTAAAAACAAACTCAAACATACATATTTTGACTAACTCATTTCTCAGTTTCCTAGACAGAAGGAACCGATTATGAGACAGATTGCTCAGGCACTGAATTTATTTTTTATGCAATTTTCTCAGAAAAATTCCAGATAGGCCATTCATATTATAGAATATTAGATAATCCATGCAGCACTGTAAACTCTAAATTTCATTTCCTTTCACTGTACTCATTAGCAATAGAAGAATACTCCAATTATTACTTTTCTGCTAAACATAATGTAAACAAAATTTGCCAAGGTACTTCACAATGTTCATGGAAAAATGGAATTAAAAAGTAAGTTGATTTTGGTACAAAACATTTTTGAAATATATACACATCTTTTTCATAATATGTATTTTCATCAACTTTTTGAAGATACCTTGTATGCACAGATTTTTGTTTTAGTAACACTTTTCACAAACTTTTTATTACTTCCATATTTGATTGGGTATCATCTGTCACTTAATATGCACTTATTCTATGCCAGGCATGGAATTAGGTGGTTGAGGTATGTCTGCATGTGTACACATGTGCATGTGTGAACATGTGTGTGAATGTGTATACTTCCATTTGTTCAACACTGAGTATGAAATTAATGATGCTACAGTTCTAAAAATTTGAAGCTCATAGAGGTCTCACAACTGAAAAAGTCTGACTTTAAACAAAAGTCTTCGTGTAGACTCTCCCATTACAAAGTACCATCTAACCTTAGAACACACAGACAAGTTGTAGCAGTAGCAGAAATTATAACTTAAAAAGTGAGTCTTCAGGGAAGTTAATAAACTCACTCATTGATCGCAGCTTTGTAAATTTGATTAAAAGTTTTTAGTCATATTT